CTTTGTCTGACATACTTTGGACATCTTATAAGGAGCGACAGGTCCTTAGAGAGGGACATCATGCTTGGGAGAGTGGAGGGTTGGTGCAAGAGGGGAAGGCCCTCTATGAGGTGGATTGATTCAGTGACTGGGGTAATCGGGATGGGTGTGTCAGAGGCAGTGTGATTGGCACAGGCTAGAGCAGGGTTTAGGGCTGTTGTACAAAGGTTCACTATGAGTCGCAAGCGACTCGAAGGCACATAACAGCAACAACTTTGCTAAAATGTCCCATAACTGTGAATATGCGTCTGTGTGGTCATTGCAAAGAATTTCAAACCCAGTAGTAAAGGATTTCTAACCCAGTTGTAAAGCAGGGCAGCTGGTATCAGAATTAGTAGCAGCATGGAGGCTCTTGCGGGAATTGGTTTTGTGGTGTGAGTGTTGCTGAGGACTGTTCCCATCTGTGAAGTTCAAAGACGTCTGACTTGCCTCAACTTTTTTTTTTTAAGTCTATGTTGAAAAAAATTTGCAAATCTACTGTGCATTTTGAGACTGGACTTGGAAGAACTGTGGCTGAAAGTGGATACTCCACTGTGATAAGCATGCCTTTTAAACCTTTCTAAAATTGTGAAAATGAAACAGCATTGATGTCAGGTAAGGAATGAAGGACAATGGTGTCTCCTTAAGTCTCACCTGCTGGCTGCTTGACATGTCTAAGGCCTTCTCCAGGTCCTTGATGTGGCGGCTGACCTCCTTCAAAAGAAGTTTAAGCCGGTTCCCAATAACATGGACTTTTTCTTTGGCTTCCAGACAATCTGCTCCTTCTGCATTCACCAGGAGTTGGCAAGACATGTCTTGTAGGGAGGCCACTCTTACCTGGGACTCCAATAGCTCGTGCCTTATTTGCTATGCAAAAGATAAAAACAGTTGTTCTAAAAATTTTCAACGATTTGACAAGAATTCCAGAGGAGCAGAAGACTTATCTGTAATTTAGTGAGAATTTATACCGGAGCTTCATTGGACCTGAATGCAATGCTCACCAATGCTTTGGCAGCTCATAGACAGGGAATCAGAGACCTGTGTTCAAATCTAACCCCCACCAGAAATATTCTACAAGGTCCCTGACCCTCTCCAGCCTGAACCTGCCTATCTGATTAATAGTGGCAATGATCCCTACTTGTTCACAATAATTATAACTGGACAATTCAAGTAGATTAATGTATGTGAAAGTTCTTAAAACACGAGGTATCTTGCAAAGGATGCATAAGTTAGGGGGTGTGTGTGTGTGTGTGTGTGTTTCTCCCTCCTTGTTGTGTACACTTGAATTGGATCTGACTGGCATAGGAGGAGATTGTCCCTTCTTCTCCAGCAAAGCATCTGGTGGACTTGAACCTCCTACCTTTGGGATTGCAGAGCAGCTTCCCCCCAGGCCAACAGAACTCCCTCATAAGTTAGTTTTTAAAAATAAAAGTGAACAATGTCTAAACATAGCAAAACTCACGAAAGCCGAGGTATATGCTATTAGCTGCTCAAGAGTTTAATAATTATATGCTTTTTTCTATTGTTTCACAGATCCTATCCTCTCCTCTCCTCTCTCCCTCCCTCCCTCCCTCCCTCCCTTCCTTCCTTCCGCTTTCCTTCCTTCCCTAACTGAAGATCTTGTGCATCAAGCAAGTCTGTACCTTTTCCCCTATACGCTCACTTTGTGTCATTGTGTCACAATTCAGTCATTCTCCCAATTTTTCAAACTTTTAAATAAGGTAGTACTCCTGCACACGTAATAAAGCGAATAGATTATTGTGTCAATATATCTTTTATTTGCACCAGGAAACCAAAAACATCCATGTGGCTAGATTTATTGCAACATTCGTTTTGTTGTTCTGGAATCAAACTCGCAGTCTCTCTAACCTCAGCCTGTGGGGAGTGAGTCATCATTAACAACTTAATGTCTGAGGTCAAAAACCTAGTGAAGAAACAGTTGCAAAACGCTACTGTCTTGGTTTCTAAGACCCGCAGAATGCGGCATTGAACACTATAGACTAAGACTGTGGGTTAGGGCTATTCCATATTAAATGTTAAAATATGACGTTTCAAAAGTACATAAAGCAACATAATACAAAGCATTTTCTGCTGGTGGAGTTTAAATACATCTCCTCCTTGTTAAATCACTGCTAAGTACACTGTCCACTAGACAGTCAAAGCTCCTTATATAAGAATCCACACAGTAAATTTCATTTTTAATCTAGTGCTAGAAAAAGAGAATTATTGGAAATAGGCATAGTGCTTTTTTATTTTTTGTCAGCAAATGAAAAGTACTTAACTCCTAATTTCCTTTTTGCCTTAGCTTTCAGAGACGGTGGTGTGAGGTTAATGTTTAATCATATTTTCGCTAACTCTTCCTAAGAAATCTTCCTTGTCTCTTTCTAGTGTAATAGTGTCTGTGTCCTTTTGGGAGACTCTGCTGATGTTAATGTTAAGGGCTCAGTGGTTTGGTGCCTAGCCAAAAGGTGGGTGCCTCAAACCCACCCGGAGGAGCTTTGAAAAGCAAGTTTAGCAATTTGCTTCCAAAAGGCCTTGGAAACCTTCTGGAAGAGTTCGACTTCACACATATGGTGCTTACTGTGAGTCCCAATCAGTTCAACGGCTGCTACAAACCATAGCAAGATTAGTGCTCTTTTATTATAAAAGTGGGCAAGGAGTTTCACTGCCAACCCAAAGGCAAGCAGTCTGAATCCACCAGATGCTTCATGGAAGAAAGATGGGCAATCTCCTCTGTGATTTACTGCCTCTGAAAACCTGCTGGAGGGTCTGCTATGAATTGTTTCTAAAGCAATGGCACATAATAATAAAACAAGTATGTACTGGGATATGGATTTGGCATGTAATGTTTAAATTAAAGGCAAGTGTAGCTCACCAAAGAACTGCCATAATGAATATAAGCGAATTGAGGTGAGCATCCAAGATTTTCACTATTGACCAATGTCTGGAACAAGAATTTAAAGTTCACAAGGATTGCCCTCTGTGTACATATTAAGAAACACCAATTACAGAAGATTACATAAGGTCAATCTTACCACCTACACACATTGTCTTCAAATGAAGCAGACCCCTGCAAAAGTAGCCGTTTCCAGAGCTCACTCATCCTACCATGAACTGTTCCATACCCTCCCGTAAGCTCTTACACACCCTGCCACAAGCTCTTACACATCCTGTCATACTCTGTCACATACCCTGCCGTAAACTGTTACATACGCTGCCATATGCCGTCACACACCCTGCCATAAGCTGTTCCACATCCTGCTATAAGCTGTCACACATCTGGCCATAAACTGTTGCACATCCTGCCATAAACTCACATCCTACCATAAACTGTCACACATCCTACCATAAGTTGTCACACATCCCGCCAAAGCTGTCACAAATCCTACTATAAACTGTTCCACATCCTGCCATAAACTGTCACACATCCTACTATACGTTGTCACACATCCTGCCACACATTCTACAATAAGCTGTCACACATCCTGTCATAAGCTGTCACATACCCTGCCATAAACTCACACATCCTACCATAAGCTGTTTGTGATGATCGTGGAGTATCTCAGGGTCAAGAGTAGAATCTATGGGGAGAATTTCGTTTTTCCTTCTGTCAATATTCTCCAGCATTAGAAGCAAGCCGTGGCTCATCTCATGGAAATCCTATAAAACATAAGGAATTTAAGTCACATTCTTTTTCTTCCTTGACAGCATAGATTTCATTTCCATTCTCTGCAATATCTACACAAAGCAGAACAAGGGAGCTCTGGTGGCCTAGTGGCAAGAAGCTGCATTGCAATCCCAGAGGTACTTGGTTCAAATCCACCAGATACTCTGCTGGAGAAGGAGGGGCAATCTCCTCCTTTACCTGTCAGATCTGATTTGACAGTACACACACACAAAAATAATAATTTTTTTTTAAAAAAGAAGCATAACAGTGAAGGAGGAGGAAGACCAAAGAAGACCTGATAACTTTTTTTCATGAGAAAATTATTTAGTATCATTAATATCATTGTTAGTAAAATC